AGGTGGAGCCAGCACTTCTTCCACCAATTCCTGCTTGCAATAGGTTGATTTTGTGGACGCGACTTGGGGTGGAAATTCAGTTCAACTGAATCCCACTCCAAATTCCTCTTCCGTTTTTCCAGACAAGACTGCCAATAAGCCTTGAGGAGGGAGGTATTGCGAGGGGGAGACATGTCGGGGAAAAGTCAATCTCCATTGAGACATTTGTTCGAGATGGAGGAAAGCCATTCATTATAGAAAGTGGGAACTGAGAACCAATAGCGACTTTTCTCGATTTCTATCATGTGTAATCTTGAAAATGCTCTTTTTTTTAAAAAAAAACAGGCAACGAGTATTTAATGCATTAAGAAATTTCACAACGCTATGATCTGAAAAGAGATCAGAATTTGAATCTGCAGTCATATGAAGTTGCTTTATGATGAATGATACCAGTGATTCCAGGAGTTCTCTTAAATCTGAAAGTGCAGTGGGGAACTCCCCCTCCAATGGAGGTGCAGAGGTGCATTACCCACCTCCCCTGGCACTGACTGAAATCGATGAGTTGGGATTTCGACTGAGCATGCAGTAAGGACACTCACACAAAGTCGACAAGTCTCCTCTAACGTCTGTGTATAGGATCCTGAGAATGCTACGCAAATCTGAAAGGAATCTTAACTTGGGCCTGATCTGGAATCCACACTCAGTATCCAAGCAGGCGAACCTAACAGGGATATGGACCAGGATCGAAAAGGGCCCGAGAAGTGAAGTCTTAAGAAAAATAAAGAGCTGTAACCTGTCCTTATGGGTTCCACTCCTTCGGGTCTCAGCAACAGCTTGTATTTATGAGAGATGATTTCTGAAGAAGGGTCTAGGCCTGAAATGTCAGCTTTCCTGCTCCTCTGATGCTGCTTGGCCTGCTGTGTTCATCCAGCTCTACACCTTGTTATCTTAGCTTGTATTTATGTATTGCCTCTACCTCATGTTAAGGTAATACAAACATCCCAGAGAATTTTGCAGAGAGATTATTAGACAAATCATAGCAACTATCCACTTAAAGAAAATTTTGAACTTGTCACTAAAAGCTTGGTCCAAGAAATAAGTTTCCAGAAAAGATTTAATGGAGTACATACAGTAGGAATGCATACATGTTTTGGAATAGATTTACAAAGCTTAGGGAATAGGCAACTAAAGGTGGAGGCTGAGCAGGCAGGCACAAGACACCAGAGAAGCACAAAGAGAATATTGGAACTTCATTGGGTTACAGAGATAAGGGGGCAAGGTTTTAAACTTCATCACTTATACAATGTTAAAATTGGGTTCACAGAGTAATGAGGCCACAGAGGGATTCGCAGACCTGGGAGCAGGTGTAGATCATGAGCGTAAAGGTGAACAGGTCTTGATGAGTTTGGGTATGGGCTACAGAATAAGAATGAGTTTGAGTTTACTACAGTGCAAAGTGAGAGGGCTGGTCAGGAATGCACCAAGATAATCAACAGAATAAAGGTATGGATGAGGGTTTCAGTAATGGACAGAATCAGGAGGGGGATATCATGGCCCCACTGTGAAAGCCTACACCTCCTTTGGTATGAGCTTTTGAACCCCATGGGACCACCCAGCTCCTATTAGATGTCCTTCGTGAACAACCTCTGTGACATGTGAATTTATGATATTTCTAAGTTGGAGCAGTGGATGTTTAGTCAGCGAAATTTAAATGAAGCGATCTTGCTAAAATGACTTGAATATTTGTGATCACCCACCAGAAACCCTGAGCAATTAACACCAAGTCTGAGTGTATATTATTCAATTTATTTATTTTAACCTCAGTAAAAACAATTTTCTGGAAGGTTCTGCTGTTTTCAACAAACATATATCGATTTATCATTGGTTCGAGCTCTAAGGGCAAGGGTTCACTCTCTCAGGATAAATAACTGCCCATTTAGGACTGGGGTTGGAGAAATGTTTTTATTCAGGGGATTATAATTTTTGGAATTCTCTATCCCACAGAACTCTGGGTGTTCAGTCAATGAGTACATTCAAGACTGAGATTGGTATATTTTTGGAAACTAAAGGAATCAAGAAATACTGAAGAGAGGATGGGAAAGTGTAATCGAGGTAAAATGTTGAGCCTTAATCTAATTGAATGGATGAGCAGACACCATGGAAGATATGGCCCACTCCCGCTTCTATTCCTTTAGCTTTTAAGTTCTTAAGTGGTAAGTTAGTGCTGGAAAAACTTACAGGAAACTTATTTGAAACATTTTCATTTTACACACACGTGTAAACAATTATTGTTATTATGAAGCCTTGCCAGAGACCTCAGGATGATTTTAAAGCTTTACATTTTGCAGACTCAGGGATGTGAAATACATTCATAGGGATGGAAAACAAAAATCAGAGTCTTCCCAGCCACAGTTTTCTTCGAGACACTGTCAGTGCACATTACACTGTCAAATCACCTCAATCAGCCACTTGAGAACATGCAGTTAAAGGAAGTCTCACTTTATAACTCTTACCAATCCCATCCCCAGAGACAGCTATTAACATCGATCAGGTTTTCACAGCAATTGTGGATATGAGGAAATGTTGTGGTTAAAAAATTACAATATTTCTGAGTGGAACAGCTGTCGACTTAAGAAAAAGCTCTAGAAATCCTGTGATTCTTGACAAAATTACAGACAACCTAAACAAACTGTAAGCAAACTGACTGTAGCTGACACAAGATTGTCAGGAGGATGTTCTAAAGCCACAATATGATGGCAAATCTCATAAACCTGCACCCTCACAAGGACTGTCCCATAATTCAGCTGAATGACCCATGTTCCGTGTGTTGGGTTATTTATCCCGGATTTCTCATGGAAGGGGATTGTTCAGGATCTCCACGTGCCACAGACCGATTGTGACTAGGGTCCGTGTGCTTCCAGGTACAGGCACACCTCATAGCAGCATGCTTCTTCCTCCCAGTTTTGATTGGTGGGTGGGGCTGGAGGGGTTCCATGGTGTCAGGGGGAATCAGAGTCTGAGCTCCAGTGGTGGCAGTACTCAGGCCCAAGTCAGCATGGACAGATTGGTGGGTGGTTGCCCTGAAGGGGCTGTAGTGCATCCTCAGACTGGGCCTCTGGTCCAGCACGGACCCAGGGGGTGGGGCAGGGCATCCTAGTGGCAGGAGCACTCAGGAAAGGTTTGAGGGGAAGTTATGGGGACATTAGAGAAGGGATTGTCCAGGGAGCGAGGTCTTGTAGGGGACAGTGACGCTGATCTGGTGCTCTATAGGAGGCCCGAAGGGGGCGCTTGTTATAATCTTTGCAAAGGAGATAAAGAGAGAAAGGAGGAGGGGCGGAGAGGGGGAGTTAAGACAAAGACAGGAGAACAGAGAGAGTGTGAGAAAGAGGGCAGAGAGGCAGCATTAGCATCCACCTAGACAATCACCTCAATCCCCAACCCCTTGCTTTTACAAACCGGTCACCAACATCTCCCTGGTCTTATGGCACCCTGACATTCCTCATCCAGTCACAAATAAGCACCCAACCTCTCACATCCCAGTCATTAGCCCCATCTTGGGGAATATAGCTGATACACGGCCCCCCTGCACAAGGAAGTTGGGCACCCCTGATCTATACCGTTGACATGGATGAAAGGACCAAATATTTGGTTAATAAGTTTGTTGATGACAGAAAGATAAGTGGGAGAGTAAATTGTGAAGAGGTCATGAGGATTTGGCCTCAAGGTCATGAGGAAATTGCAACATAAGTACATCTGTGGTATTCAGACGGGGTATTTAACCTTCCAATTGCCAGGTCTGCCCTGCCTGGATTGTTCCACGATTGGCCAGAGCCATACAAACCTGGGCTGCTTGTTCTATCCTCATCCTGCTTGTTATGCTGATTTACTCAAGAGTTTTTCAAAGCAGATCTAAAGCCTGATGAGCAACTTATCTCTACACAAGTTGGCTGCAGTGTCAAATCACTGCAGCACCCACAGTAATGACTGGATCCTGCACATCTATATTCCCCAACCCCTTCCCCCAGCCCTTGAACCACAGACAACACTCATTCTCAAGCCGCTTTGGAACCAGAAAGTGTGTTCACTTTCAACCCCTCACCAGCCTCCATTCCTTCAATCAGGGTTGCAGTTTGCCCCTCACCTTCTGGAATCCCTGACTCCTGTCCAGCTATGTCCAAAGGGTTGGTATTATTGAGGGTGAGGCAGCATTGAGGAAGGGGTAAAGGAGGGTGGTGAGTATATTCAAGAGATGATGGAGGGAGGAGGAAACTGTAAGTGGTGGGGGTTGAGGGATAGGCGATCACTGCATGAGGATCGGAATGAGGGGAGAGGTGAATAATTTTTGGGAGAGGGAGGGTTGTTAGGTGGATACTCATACTGAATAAAGAAATGCCAGGTTTTTGATGACGATAATTTTGGACATGCAACCATGGAACATTTAAGCTTGGCATAAAATGGCATTTACTGCATAAAAAAAAAAAAGAGGGTTTGTTTATCTTCCCCTGACTATCCTGCTGTACACGGGCATTTCTGAAGGAACCAGGATTGGAAGCACCAGCAAGAAATGTGGAGCTCCTCCTACATTTTGGCAGTAGGAGGAGGAGAATGGAAATTGACAATGATTATTACTCATCAGAAAATCCAGACCTAGAAGTCTGCAAATGGCTATATAGTTAGGTAGGTTAAGTGAATGGCACAGACAGATTTTGGTTTCTCAGGGAATCAAAGGTTGTACGGAGTGGGCAGACAAGTGGATTGAATCCCAAGCTGAGCCTCGGTCATATTGAATGATGGAGTAGGCTCAATGGGCTATATGATCTATTCCTGCTTCTATTTCTTGTGTTCTTGTGGATATGCACTTGAAATGTCATAATCTATAGGGCTATGGACCAAAGGGCTGAAAAGTAGAATTATGCCTAGTAGCTCTTTTGCTTCTTTTCACATCATTCATGGTTTTAGTTTCCACTTATTTCTTAAGAACATTGATAACTTATTTGGATCCACACTTCTAATTACTGGTGTCACATACCTTGGTTCATGAGAATGAGACTTCCTGTCAACAAAGCCACACAGTTGGTAGGTTGATGGTTGTGCAGATATTGAAATCCCCATCCACGAGTGAAAGATTTTTCATACATATAGCGAGAGCTATCAGTGATGACCTCCAGATACCTTTCCTGTTGAGTTCTGTTCAGGTGGTCATACAAGAAGTCATATGCAGTGGCAAAACCCACCAGAGAGTGAGCTAGTGGAACTTCATCCCATGGTGCATCTTTCACCAGCCTTTGGAGAAGAAAAGACATTATTAATAGTTTGAAGCATACAAATGCCAAGTACTTTAAAAGGTGCTTGTCTACCTTAATGTATAAAATTGGCTTTGTTTGTTAGTCTTCTTAGCAGCCCAGTAAGAAGTAAGCTTTGGAATGTTTTGTCTGCAACATGTCAATTCAGGGTAACTGCAAGTAACCAAGACAAATACAAAAATAATTCACAACTGCAGATGCTCCAAAAATTTCCAGGTATTGCCTAAAAATAACCTGTGTCATTGTTTCATGGGATGAACCAGGAGCGCAAATTGAAAAGGAGGGGAAACATTTAAAAACTGTAATCACAGAATTCCTACAGTGTGGAAGCAGGCTATTCAGCCCATCGAGTCAACACCAATCTGCTGAAGAGCATATCACCCGGACACACCCCTGCTGCCCTATCCCTATAAACCTGCATTTCCCGTGGCTAATCCACCTAACCTACATATCCCTGCACATGATTGGGAAATTTAGCATTGCCAAACCACCTAACCTGCACACCTTTGGACTGCAGGAGGAAAGCAGAGCGCCTTGAGGAAACTCGCACAGACACAGGGAGAATGTGCAAACTAAACACTAACAGTCACCTGAGGCTGCAATTAAACCTGGGTCCCTGGTGCTGTGAGGCAGCAGTGCTAACCACTGAGCTGTAATGATGTCTAAAGTAATGTTAGGTAGAACTACTTAAATGAAATAATGTAAAATGATGTCGCTTTAACTGTGTTTTCAATATCACCTGGAAATTCAGTAAAGAATATTCTCTCACTTAAGCTCTACAATATCAATCACTTGCCAGAACACCTTACCTTTCTAGCACATCCTGGTACTTTTCTAACATGTCCCTTTCCATCATTCAGGGATGGATGTGCATGTATAATTGCACACATATATGGATTGATAGAGAATTTGGGTAAGCAAACATTCTCCACAGGACAGCACACAAGCTTCCATCATTACATCAGCTTTAAATGAGCAGAACAGTATCTCCATACAGACGTCTTGGGTGACATACCAGAAGCTGAAAAGGGGCAATTTTTTTTTTGTTTTTTGAATAGTGAAGAATTATACTGTGCATGCTACTACAAATTTTGCTATTATCTCTGTGTTGCTGTCAGACATGCCATAAATCAGTTTTCATGGTAAATTTACACTGAAACGAAATAGCATTGGTGTCAGATTACTCAATGCCCGTAATGCAAAGTGAGCTGCAAATGCAATGTGTCTGTTTTTGCATTCGTGAGGATCAGTTTTGTGATATAATAAGATTCTTTTAATCATGACTCTAAGATCAGTAAGGAAGAAGATACTCGTGTAGAATAAGCATGTGAAGTGAGAAGTGTTACATACCACACTAGACAGTGATATATTCAGTAGGTCCAGATGTAAATAAAGGAATCCATACATAAGGAGTTGAAAAGCCTATCGAGTGACAAGAAGCAAGCAGCGTCAGGAACCATGTAGGTGCAGACACCCGCAACCCGAGATCCCTCAGACTGTATCTCAATGTACTCGTAGCATTATTGGCTTAAAGCACAAGTAAATTTCACACGCCATTGATGTGAATAGGATTAGCATACTGAAAGCTGTAACAATTAGAAATATAGCTAGTTACCAGTTCACTGCCACAATAACATAAAAACATAGAAGATAGGAGCGGGGAAGGCCATTCGGCCCTTTAAGCCTGCTCCGCCATTCATCACAATCATGTCTGATCGTCCAACTCAATAGCCTCATCCTGCTTTCTCCCCGTAACGTTTAATCCCATTCACCCCAAGTGTTATATCTAGCCGCCTCTTGAATACATTCAATATTTTGCCATCAACTACTTCCCGTGATAATGAATTCCACAGACTCACCACCCTTTGGGTAAAGAAATGTCTCCTCATCTCCGTCCTAAATGGTCTAACCTGAATCCTCACACTGTGACCCCTGTTTCTGGACACACCCACCATCAGGAACATCCTATCCTGTGTAGTCCTGTTAGAATTTTATAAGTCACACAAGGAAAGTGCTCAAGTCAAACCTCTTTGATTATCCCAGATGACAAGGATTGATAGCTTTGCAGTTCAATATTCTGAAGTACGCCTGCAACAAAACTGCAGAGAATATAGTAGGGAAAATTCACCAATCTGCCAAAAACACTGTGGCCAGGATTTTTCGTATTTGTGAGTTGGGATAATACAGTAGTTAGATGGGTGTCAAAACTGGAAGCCCATCTGCTCCTTTAAAATAATCTTTAATCGTCAATTGAGCTTGTAACCGAGCAAACTGATCTGAATATTAAGCTGCCTATGCCATAATGCAGTTGTATGTGTGAAGTCTGCTTCACTATTTGAAGTGAGAAAGGGGAAGGGGGAGGAAATGCACTCCCCAAGATAATACCCTCTTTGTGCATCCCCACCTGGCCTGCAACATTTGCCTTCCCTACTCCACTCCACCCCTTTTGCTCCATGCTTCCCCTAAAATCCAGGACTTAGCAAAGTCTGCGATTATGAATCTCTTTAACATGTGACTGGCAACAGTTCCAGCAGTGGCCACTACTGAATTCTGCTGTAGCTGGGACACCAACAACTGCTGGCCAATCAGGTTGGCTAGTAGATATTGAAAGCAGGTCTTTCTCACTCTGAAGGGGTGAAAGTCTCCCTCTTTCTGCTCATTAAGGCTGCCCACAGCACATCATTATATACGGCAACCTTTTTTTTAAATAATTGGTCCCTACTGTTCCAACCTCATAACATTCAGGTCTGTCTTTTCAAGTGTTAAATCCTAAAGCTTCCTCCTAACTCTGTTCCATTACCCCTATATTTAGCAGAATCTGAGCAAATGGTCATAATCTCCTGTTTTTCCATCACTGTATGAGTATCTATTTCCTGTGTGTCTCTGAGCAAAGCAAAAATTTGATGTATATACTTTTTTTTCTTTATTCATTCATGGGATGAGGGTGTCACTGGTTACTCAGCATTTATTGCCCATCCCTAATTGTCCAGAAGGCAATTGAGAGTCAACCACATTGCTGCAGGTCTGGAGTCACATGTAGGCCAGACCAGGTGAGGATGGCAGTTTTCTTCCCTACAGGACATTAGTGAACCAGATGGATTTTTCCTGACAATTGACAATGGATTCACGGTCATCATTAGATTGTTAATTCCAGATATTTATTGAATTCAAATTCCACCATCTGCCATGGTGGGATTTGAACCTGGGTCCCCAGAACATTAAGTGGGTCCCTGGAATAACAGTCTAGTGATAATACCACTAGGCCATTGCCTCCCCTTCTACTTATCTACCCATGTTACATATTTTAGTCCTTCTAGTTATCTCAAGTGGAAGACATTTTTCTTTCTCTGCAGCAAGTACCTGCTTTGAAAAGGGAGCTGCCACACCATCCGTGGTGTGTGTGAAATCGTTATTAATAATGCAGGAGCTATTATTCTCGTTACAGCTTTCACTGGCCCACTGGATTAGATAATGTAAGCATAACATTTCTTTGCGAATGATCATTGACCTAAAATAATAACACCAATTCTCTCCACAAATGTTGCCTGAAATGCTGAATATTTCCAGTATTTTTTTCTTTCTTTGTATTTAACATTCCTCTTTGCCTCCCATAATTTTATGAAGGCAGGTAAGGAGAGCTGCATGCTTTCTCAAATAACGTATACAGCAAACACTGAACGGTGCTACCCACTGCCTGTGCATTTTTTTCCCCACAGCTAATCAGAAAATATTAGCCAAAGAAAGTCAGTGGGTTCAGAGGCCAAACTGGTGGTAAAAGTATAGCTGATTTGTGCATTTTTAAAAACACCTATCAAAACCTCAAAACACTCCAAAGAATTACTTTGAAATCCTGTCCTTGTTGTAATGTAGAAAACACAGTAACTAAAGGGAGCAAGGTCTCACAATCATCAATGAGATAATGAACAGATCACAGGGATACCTCGAGATCTATTGCATCTATGAGAGACAGTAGACAGAACTTTAGTTTAATGTCTCACCCAGAGAACAACACTTTCAAAAGTGTAGCTTCCCTCAGCAGTCTATTGAAGTTTCAACATGGATTATGTGCTCAAATCTCTGAAGCGAAGCATGAAGCTATAATCTGTGAATTCAGAGATAATATTAGTCTTTCTTGCATATTGAATTAAGTCTATACATAAGTACAAGATTGTTTTATTATCACTGAATTACTAATTTTACTTAATTCCATCTGGTACAGAGTCTGACAAAAAAATTCTCTGTCGAGTCCTTTGCCCGGAATTTCGGTATATTTTTCAGTTCTTTCAGATTACATTTTTAAGAAATTCTCTAACACAATTCACAGGCTCCCAGGTAGCAGTTCATAAGAACATACGAAATGGGAGTAGGTGGTGGTCATCTGGCCTTTCGAGCCTGCTCCAACATTTAATAAGATCATGGCTGATCAGCTCCACTTATCTGCCCACTAACCATAACCCTTAATTCCTTTATAGTTCAAAAATATATATCTTTGCCTTAAAAACATTCAACAAGGTAGCCTCAACTGCTTCACTGGGCAGGGAATTCCACAGATGCACAACCCTTTGAGTGAAGAAGTTACTCCTCAACTCAGTCCTAAATCTGCTTCCCCCTTATTTGAGGCTATGCCCCTGGTTCTAGTTTCATCTATCAGAGGAAACAACCTCCCTGCTTCTATCTTATCTATTTCCTTCATAATTTTACATGTTTCTATAAGACACACCTCCCCCCACCATTCTTCTAAATTCCAACAAATATAATCCCAGTCTACTCAATCTCTCCTTATAAACCAACTTAATGTGTTAATTAACAATAGTAATCACCAACTAATAATCAGTTTGCTATGGTTTATGTTTCTCAATTTATAGGTAAACAGTCCTACTCCTAATAACTTTGACAACAGAGATTGAGCGTTAATAAAACTTATAAAATGTTGCAATTGCTAACAAATTCCAGAATCAACTACTGAACCTCCTCTGCACC